TGTCTTTAAGGGCATTCCATAGCCTTTCATGATCTATGCAATCAAAGATTACCTTTGCTATAGTCTATAATGCACATGCTGATTTTCTTTTGGAATTCCCTGGTGCACTCCATTAGCCATTGTATGTTTGCAATGTGGTTCCTAGTGCCTCTTCCTTTCCTGAACTCCCCTTGAACCTCTGGGATTTCTCTCTCCATGTATGGTTGGACTGTATGTTGCAGAAATTTGAGCATAATTTTTCTTGCATGGAAGATCAGTGCTATGGTCCTGTAGTTGCTACAATCTTTTGTGTCTCCCTTTTTGAGGATGGGGATGTATATTGATTGCTTCCAATCTGTTGGCCGTCATTTTGTTTTCCATATCTGTTAACATATGTTAGCACTAGAGTTGACTCTATCAATGTGGATTGCAGCAGTTCAATTGTAATGTCATCTGTTCTTGGTGATTTGTTTTCGCTATTTCTCTTATTGCAGTTTCCACCTCACTTTTTAGAATTTGGGGCTCATCTTCATATGGCTCTTCATTCCATGTGTCCTTCATTTTATCATCTCTTTTGTATAATTCTTCTGTGTATTGCTTCCAACATCTTTTTATTCCTTCCTGGTCTTGAATTATGTTATTTTTATTGTTATAGATCGTCCCAGTCCTTGGTTTGAATTTTCCTTTGATTTCCCAGATCTTGTGAAATAGATCTCTTGTTCTTCCCTTTTTGCCGTCGTCTTCTATTTCTCTGCATTGGTCATTGTAGTACATAAGTTTTACCAGTTTTAAAATTTTGTTGTTCTTGTGTGTCTTCAAGTCATTTCCAGCATATGGAGACCCTAAGGCAAACCTATCATGGGTTTTTCTTGGCGAGATTTGTTCAGAGAAGGTTTGCCATTGTCATCCTCTGAGCCTGATAGAGTGTGACTTTCCTTCACAGTTTTAAAAATGGTAAAGATGCTGTGCTAACATGTTCTTTGGTTGGGGACAGGGAAGCAACAAGTAAAAAATTACTATGTTAAATAACATCCTAAGCTTTATGTTTCTTCTTACTGAAATAATTGAATAAGAGGGCACTTAAAGTTCAGTTTTGTTTTGAAAGCACTTCATCATTTTATGCTACAAGCTGCTAAATTGGATCCAGTTACTGGAAGTTTTTTACAGCTGTGAGAGTGCCATCTCCTCTCCCCTGCCCTCACTATTGAGAAAGCTACCACTCTTTTGTGCTAGTCACAGGTTGAGAACCTGCTCAAGAATCCAAACTAATTTATTCCTTAGGTATATGCATGTTATTGTGATTCAGTGGCTGAAGTGGTTAAGATGCTTACTCTGTTGATTGCAAGATTGGCAGGTTGGCAGTTTGAGGCCTGGGTACTGCATGATGGGGTGAGCTCCTGTCACTAGTCCCAGCTTATGCCAACCTAGCAGTTTGAAAGCATGCAAATGCAAGTAGGTAAATAGATACCACTTCTCATTGGGATGGTAAACAGCGTTCTGGGCAGTCATGCTGGCCCCATGATCACAGTGTAGTCTCTGACAATGCTGGCTCTATGACTTAGTAACAGAGATGAACACCATTCCCTATGGTCGGACATGACTTGACAACCTTGTCAACCGGGAATACCTTTGCCTATACCTTTATATGTATGTTAGGACCATAAAGTATGGGTTCAGTTGACTTCTCTCTTATATTAAGCCTTCAAAACCATTTCAAGGGATTATCAATATCCAGCGTCTGAATTCTGAGACAATACTAACATAGATGAACTAAGAGAAAAGTATAATTCAAAATTAAGTGTATTTTTGTGCCAAACAGCTGCCTATTTTCCATTATCTCTATTGTACTCACACTTTACCACAGTGGCTCTCAAACTTTTCCCCCACTGGGCCCCCTTTACATCTACATGCACATGTCGAGGGGGGGGCTTCTAGCTCAAGGTACTATATGGGATTTTGGCTTTGGAAAGAGCAAAGAGAAAAGAAAGGGTTTTAATTTTGCTCCTTCCAAAGACAGAAACCCCACCAGCCATGGGATTTTGCAACCTATTTTGGAAAGAGCAAAAAGGAAGGAAAGGGTTAACGTTTCTCCTTCAGAAGACAGAAATGAGGGATTTTGCCCTTGGAAAGAGCAAAGGGGAAGAAGGGGGGCAGTGTACTATCTTCTTCCACCTCCCAAATTGTTGTCATGCACTCACAAGCCCCAGCTTCACCACCCTACCCTGACACCCACTTTCCTCTCTTCTTCTCACTCTCTGCCATATGATCTGAGCTGAAGCAGATGCTGAAAAAGCATTCCAAATACTATTCCTCTTTGGAGGATCAACTAATCTGAGTCTGAAGTCAGCATCACCTGCAGGGTACACCCCACCATTTGAGAACCTAGGCCTTAGCAGATAATTGTTTCATGTATACACGTATATTCACTGACTATTAGCCCGT